GCCCCACTCCCCTCCCCACCGCTCGCCCTACGCGTCTCTTCATCTGCCTTCATGTGTATCCTTGTGATGTCCTTTATAACGAGCCAGGAATGGAGTTTCCCTGGGCTCTACGGGCAGCTCTATTAAGTTAGCTGAAACTGAGGAGGGGTCCTGGGAACCCCAATTTATAGCTGGTTGGTCAGCAGCACAGGTAAAGTGGCCTGGGGGTGCGACTGCGGGGGGCAGCTGTGGGGACCGAGTCCTCGACCGGAGCGATCTGAGGTACGGATGTCATCAGTGATTGAATTAGAAGACACCCAGCTGGTGTCCGCGGCTGAAAGGCTTGCTTGCTTGGTGTGTGTGGGGAAAATGCCACACATTTGGTCTCAGAATTCTGTGCTGATTGTTGAGTGAGAATATGGGAGAAGCTGACTTTGTTTTTTCCTTCATCCTCAGAGTGACGTAACCGAGATGAAAGAGGGAGCAATGTATCAACACAACAGCGTGCCAGGTCTGTCGTCGTGTACGTGCTCTGGCACTGGGAGACACCACCAGGAAGACAGAGCCTTGCCCTTCTGCGGGATGAGTAGGTTTGGACACGAGAGAAACGGAAAGGTCAGAGGCTGTTCTGTGCAAGAACAAGGGAGCGGGAGAGCAGAAAGGTTTGTCTGAGCAGAATGGAAACCAGTATCAGGAGAAGGCACGGCGGATGGATGTACTTGCATCTGGTAAGAGAACGGGGGAAATATCCTTAACTGAATACGAACACCAAGACTAACTCCAGATGGTAGAGGTGAGGACATGGAGAATTAGGATATTCTTGCAAATGCGATGGGCTTTATTCAAAGTGTGGTCAAAATCATTCTTTGTGTTAAGACCTGGGACAGGATTGTCACAAGGCATCAGAGACAATGTGTCCCTCATCAACTCTTCCCACGTCGAGACCCTGCCAAGCCGCTCCCCCCCCCCAGGGATCACATCTCAGTGAGCGGTTCCACCTCCAGCCTGCGTTTTAAAACCTGGACGCATCCCCTTGCGCAGAGCGTGGCTTCCCCACCACGCCAGGCACAGAATCCTCGGGACCCCGCTCTTTGGACACAGCTTTTCCTGACAGCTCTGCCCTCGCCTCCTTGTCACACGCCAGCTACACTGGCCCCTTCGATGTCCCTGCACCCCCAAGCACATCTCAGGCCACTGGCCCTTTGCGGGCGTCTTACTCTCTTCCTGCACCACTCTTCCGTCAGCCCCCTGCACGGCGCACTCCGCCTGGGACCCTGCTCGCAGCTCCCCTCCTCAGAGAGGCCTTTCTTGACCATCTTGTTTAAAATAGCCTCCGTCACCCTCGATGGCCCTCCCTGCTTTGGTTGTCTGCATTGCACTTTTTTTTTTTTTTAATTTCAGAACATTAATTAAGGGGTTACATGGATATCTGGTATGATGCTGAAGTCAGGGCTTTGGTGTGCCCCTCACCAGAATAGTGTTGATTGTACCCAATAGGTAAGTTTTTATCCCACACCTGCCCTGCCCTCTTCTTGGTTTCTCATGTCCTTTGTGTCGCTGCGTGCCTGTGTGTGCCCATGTAGTAGCTGCCATCCGCACGGCACTGATCGCTACCTTAGCTGTGGGTCTGTTTATAATCCGCCTCTGGCTGGTTAAATCCACCAGGGCAGGGATCTGTCCCCAGCGTTGGAGCCATGCCCCACACCAAGTAACACCAGGTAAATATTTGTTGACAGAACGAATAAGACAAATTCAAATAAACGCTGACATTGAGGTTCTAGAACAGAACCTGTTGTCAGCACTGACACGGTGATAGTCACGCAATCAATGAAATGAACAGCTGGGGACAGGGAGGAAGTGCGAGTAGCAATTTCCTAACTTTCTGGAGCACAGGAGATAAATACAATCTGAAATGGAACCATGGGGTCAGAATACACGCCTTTTAGCGTCTTAGAGGTTTTCATTACATTGTTTTTCACAATCACAGAAAAATTCAGTTACAAAATTTGCAGGGCCCAGTGCAAAATGAAACGTGGAGCTCTCTGTCGTAAAATTATTAAGAATTTGAAGACGGCGGCAACAGGGCTTAAACCAAGCACAAGGCTTGAAGCTGGCTCTGGTGGAGTATTTGGGGATATCTTTGTGGTGAGGAAACATTTATCTAAAATGCAGTTTAAATTCATTTGTTTTTCTTATGTTAAATTGAAAAAGACTTTAAAAAGATAGGATCTCACTTTCCCGAAACTACTTTACTACGCGCCCCTGCAGCGCCGCGAGGGACCGCGCGGAATCGGGCGTGGCCGCGCTGAGGGGCGGCTCGGCGGCGTCCCCCTGCGCATGCGCGGCCCGTCGCGGCGCCGGAACCTGGTTTTCCGGCTGCGAGTCTGGGGGGAGCGTCTTGAGCCGGGCACACGGACGTCGGCGGCTGCCTGAGCCGGGCGGGCGAAGCTGGAGCGGCGGTGGCGGCGGCGGGGGGAGGCCGGGGCTGAGGCCGGGGCCGGGGCTGCGAGGCCCACGGGGCGGCAGGCGGCGGCGGCCCGGGGCTCGATCCCGGAGGCAGGAGCGGCCGCCATGGCCGAGAGCATCGTGAGTGCGGCGGCCGGGCGGGAGCGGGGACGCCGGGATGAGGCAGCAGATTTGCCGGCCGCGGCCTGTGGGGGGAGGCGATCAGGCCGGCCCCGCGACCCGGCCCCTTCCCCTCTCTCGCCCTGCCTTTCTCCGCAGCGGCCGGGCTCCCCTCCCTGACTTTCACCCCCTCGGCTGCTTTCCGCCCTTGCTCCTAACCGGACGACTTGAGACCCCGGTTCCCCGCCCTGGGCAGGGAAAGGCCGAGCTTTTCTGCAGGGGGTATGGACTGTGCCAGAGAAGCCGCCCGCCTTCCCCTCCCCTCTCTCGGTCTCCAGAAGACGTCCTGGGCTTCTTTGAGGGACCTCCCGGTCTCGCAGAGCCGGGGTCCCGACCCTCCCTGATTTCCTTTCGATTCTCTCTTGCCCCCTGTCCCCGGTCCCAGTAAGTGCCTTGTCATGAATCTTGAAAGGGGGGCAGTTTCTGCGGAGGGGAGCCGTTACAGAACTCCCGCCCCACGAGGGGAAGCTGTGAAAATGCGAACGACAGTAACTTGACGGCTGCAGGGAAAACTCGACAAGTTACCTGTTTAAAAGGAATATCATAAAAAAGGTTGATTTCGCTTTTTACCCAAAGTGAGGAATTGCCACACTCCCCTTCCCCGTTAAAGTAAAAAATGTCAGTGAAAAATCAGAGAAAACCAGGCGTTCGTTAGCTCGTGAAAAGTTTCTCCTGAGCAGTAAATGTGCGGTAGGGGAAAAATCAACAGACCAGTTAGACGGAAGGATTTTGGTTGACACCAGGGGTGTTTGGGATTTCAGAGGGAAGCAGAGCAGTGCTGGGCGACAAGAACTGTTGGTGTTTAGCACCGTAACAACCTCTGCGGGTTCACCGGTGTCCAGAGTAGATCTGGGAAAACCTAGCCCTTGAGTTGGAGGCTTTTCTCTAAGGGCTGCGGCTCCCTGCTCGACTCTCCATTCAGGGCTCTCCTGCCAGCTACACGCTTCTCAGCCTGGAAAATGAGCAGAAAGAATAAGAGAAACTTGAGACACGTTGACCTCTTTTAAAAATGAAAGTTACTAATCGTTGGGGACTTTGCCTAGAAATAGGTTAGGAATTAGCACTCAAACCTGTTTTCAAACTTTCTGTTTACTGTAATCTTTTTTTTTTTTTTTTTGCCCACTCATTCATCAGTCAGTACTGTAACAATTTTAACTGAGTTAAAGTGACCACGTTCGAGTGAGTTATTTCAGGCAATACCGTTTTTTCTAAGGCTAGGCTCTGATTGACAGCATTGGGTCTCTTGTCGAATTTCTCAGATCGTGAGGAATTGAAACACCCTTCTTTTGAAATTGATTTCAAAAGTCATTTTGAGTTTAGAATGAGTCTTTTAAAAAGATTTTTGTGGGTATATCGGATTTGTATACCACCAATTCTTCGATTCTCCCAAGAAGTGTTCTGGGCTTATGTTTTTATGAAGGTGGAAAGCTAAGTTACTGAGAGGCCACATGTTCATGTTGTCAGGTCTGTCTCTTCCTGTGTATTTTGTTTCATAGTCTTTATCAGAGGCCAAGCCAGAACTGTCTCCAGCGTAAGTTATGTTTGTCTCGTCTCTTGTTTGGCTTTGGAAGCCTGGGCTCCCATGCCCTGTTGTAGAGGTCCAGGTAGAACTTTGCAGCCTGACCATTAACTGCACGAGGAGTGGAGGTGACATGCTCGTGTTCCTAAGTCATTAATGGAAGGAACATTCACAGAGTCACCTACAGAGAAACAGAGTTCTTCACTTTTTAACATGCCTCAGTGTTGGCGACAGATTTCAGAAACAAATAAATAGAAGTATTTACCTAATGCTGTGTATCGGGAAAATGTTTTTCTTAGGTATTGAATCCAGAATGAAGTGTGCTAGGCATCATAAGTAAAAGTAATTCGTTTTTATTTGCACTTACACAGATGAGTGAAAAGAGTGAGAAAATTAAACAGATGTGAAGAAGCAAAAGTATACAAACTATTTTATGCTCTTAACAATTGGGATATTCATAGAGATTATTCAAAACAAAATCTTAAAAGTTGAGAATATATGAGGTGAAGCCTTTTCAGACAAGTGAAAGCTATTGGAAAATGAGGGACAGGGTCATGTTATTTTAGGAAGATCTAGGTTATTTTTAATTAGTTTGATAAAAAGTGGACTGAGTTAGTAGACTATAAGCCGTTCTGGCTGTTTTGTCTGTATCAGTGAATACCTTTTTCTAAACAATGGCTTGGGCGTTTTTCATCTCCATGGTGTTTTTAAAATACAATGAACCATCAGTAATTGCTGAGAGGAGAAGCTGCAAGTGAGCACTTTCTGCGTATTCCTGTCTCTTCCCTCCCATCCCTCAGGTGGTTGGAGCAGATCTGTCCTGTTTGCAGCAGGGCATGCCACTTCATGCTCCCTGACTAAAGTGGGACTTGCACGGTTGGCCAGGTGTCGTAACGCACCTGCAGAAGGGCTTTCATCAGCATGAGAATCAAGTCCTCGTAGGAGATGATGCTCGTGTCCCGGTAGTCTTCGGGCCTGCCGGCCTTTTCAGGCTTGCCATGAAAATGTTTTTTTAAAACTCTAATAAGCTTTACCATGGTGTTAAAGACCTTTATTTCTTTAATTTTAATCTTTTTATTAAAAGTAGGTAGCGAGAAGATTGACTATGATTCATTTAGAAGATTTTCTATGATTCTTTTAAGTCAGTCTAATGTCTATCTATACACCTGGAAACAAAGATTTTCTTGAAGAACGTAGTTATTCATAATTCATGGTGAGTTTTTTCCTGTTTTTATAAGTTTTGAAGAGACAAAAAGTGTTTCACATATACTCTTTATAAATAATGGTTACAAATTGAAGTAGTTTTCTGAGTGAAACTAAGAATTGAGAATCAGGGCCGTCCTCTTAAAACATGACTCCCCCTTCCAATATGTTGATGACTCTCACCCTGCTGCTTCCTCTTCTAGAAAGATTCAGTCAGCTATTAAAAGGTGAAGGGTGAGGTTTGGCTTAAGTTTCAGTGACCCAGATGCTGGAAGGCTGCAGGTGTAAGTCTTAATAGTAAAGCAGGACTTCACCAGGCTGCGCAGTAACCATCCTGTTTCATTTGCAACAGATCATCCGTGTCCAGTCCCCGGATGGGGTGAAGCGGATCACAGCAACAAAGAGAGAAACGGCTGCCACATTTTTGAAAAAGGTCTGTGGCTTGGGATTCACCTTCCAGCATCTTTATCCTCCAGTGTTGCTCCCGTCTGTACCTTTCCCCTTTTCCTATTTCCTGTTTCTCTCACTCCCAAGTTGTCTCTTACATTCCTTTTCTCTATCATGAGTGGGCTGGATCTTTGTTACAGCTGATCACAGCTCAAAATTACAGGACCAAGAGCCCAAAGTGTCACAGTATTTCACAGGAGTAATATATATGACAGTGAAAATTTGGAGAAAATTTCAGTTTTCCATCAATATGTTAAAAACATATATAGAATGATGCCACTCTCTTTTTAAAAAAATTAAAAGCCACATAAACACATCTGTATGAGAACAGAAAGTGATGTGAAAGACGCATCACGTCTTGCAACCAAGACGCAAAATGGGCAACCCCAGGATGAGTGGCCTGTAGTATGGAGAGTGGCCTTTGCTTTATGTTTCATGTCAGAGTTAGGGCCAGCCTCTTATTTTTGTAAATAAAGTTTTATTGGAACACAGCCACTCACTGGTTTACACAGCCACACATACTGCCTCTGGCTGCTTTTGAGCTGCAGTGGCAGGGTTGAATAGTTGTGACAGAGACTATGTGGCCTGAAAAACAGAAAATATTTACTATCTGGCCTGTTAATAGGAAAAGTTTGCCAGCCTTTATTTTATATATTTCTGTTATTCGAATTGGTTACACGTGTTAACTTTGTAATGATAAATTGATTTTCTATTTTCATAAGCAAAAACAGATTATACATATTATATAATGTCTAATGTATATGAGAGCAAGAGGGAATCTTCTCTGTCATATAGTCTAATCTTTTTATTTTCAGTTAATGAAGCCACAACACTTACTGGGAAATTTTGTTTTTTTTTTTTTTTTTTTTTTTTTGAGACACAGTGTCCTTCTGTTGCCCAGGCTGGAGAGGAATGGTGTAGTCATACCTTATGGTAACCTCGAACAACTGGGCTCAAGCCATCTTTGAGCCTCAGCTTCTTGAGTAGCTAGGACTACAGGCTCGTTCCCAGCTAATGTTTTTCTTTTATTTTTTTT